GGAGAGAGAGGAGAGAAAGGAGAGAGAGGAGGGAGAGGAGAGAGAGGAGGGAGAGGAGAGAGAGGAGGGAGAGGAGGGAGAGGAGAGAGAGGAGAGAGAGGAGAGAGAGGAGGGAGGGAGGGAGGGAGAGGAGAGAGAGGAGAGAGAGGAGGGAGAGGAGGGAGCAGAGGGAGAGGAGAGAGTGCAGAGAGAGGAGGGAGAGGAGAGAGAGGAGAGAGAGGAGGGAGAGGAGGGAGCAGAGGGAGAGGAGAGAGAGGAGAGAGAGGAGGGAGAGGAGAGAGAGGAGAGAGAGGAGGGAGAGGAGGGAGCAGAGGGAGAGGAGAGAGAGGAGAGAGAGGAGAGAGAGGAGGGAGAGGAGAGAGAGGAGGGAGAGGAGAGAGAGGAGAGAGAGGAGGGAGAGGAGGGAGCAGAGGGAGAGGAGAGAGAGGAGAGAGAGGAGAGAAAGGAGAGAGAGGAGGGAGAGGAGAGAGAGGAGGGAGAGGAGAGAGAGGAGAGAGAGGAGGGAGAGGAGGGAGAGGAGAGAGAGGAGAGAGAGGAGAGAGAGAGAGGGAGAGGAGGGAGAGGAGAGAGAGGAGAGAGAGGAGGGAGCAGAGGGAGAGGAGAGAGAGGAGAGAGAGGAGAGAGAGGAGAGAGAGAGGAGGGAGAGGAGAGAGAGGAGGGAGAGGAGGAAGAGGAGGGAGAGGAGAGAGAGGAGGGAGAGGAGGGAGCAGAGGGAGCAGAGGGAGAGGAGAGAGAGGAGAGGGAGCAGAGGGAGAGGAGAGAGAGGAGAGAGAGGAGGGAGAGGAGGGAGCAGAGGGAGAGGAGAGAGAGGAGGGAGAGGAGAGAGGAGGGAGAGGAGGGAGAGGAGAGAGAGAGGAGAGAGAGGAGAGAGAGGAGAGAGAGGAGGGAGAGGAGGGAGAGAAGAGAGAGGAGAGAGAGGAGAGAGAGGAGGGAGAGGAGGGAGAGGAGAGAGCGGAGAGAGAGGAGGGAGCAGAAGAAGAGGAGAGAGAGGAGAGAGAGGAGAGAGAGGAGAGAGAGGAGGGAGAGGAGAGAGAGGAGAGAGAGAGGGGGAGCAGAGGGAGAGGAGAGAGAGGAGAGAGAGGAGAGAGAGGAGGGAGAGGAGGGAGAGGAGGGAGAGGAGAGAGAGGAGGGGGAGGAGGGAGAGGAGAGAGAGGAGAGAGAGGAGAGAGAGGAGGGAGAGGAGAGAGAGGAGAGAGAGGAGGGAGAGGAGGGAGCAGAGGGAGAGGAGAGAGTGCAGAGAGAGGAGGGAGAGGAGAGAGAGGAGAGAGAGGAGGGAGAGGAGGGAGCAGAGGGAGAGGAGAGAGAGGAGAGAGAGGAGGGAGAGGAGAGAGAGGAGAGAGAGGAGGGAGAGGAGAGAGAGGAGAGAGAGGAGGGAGAGGAGGGAGCAGAGGGAGAGGAGAGAGAGGAGAGAGGAGGAGAGAGGAGGAGGAGAGGAGAGAGAGGCGGGAGAGAGGAGAGAGAGGAGAGAGAGGAGAGAGAGGAGGGAGAGGAGAGAGAGGAGAGAGAGGAGGGAGAGGAGGGAGCAGAGGGAGAGGAGAGAGAGGAGAGAGAGGAGGGAGAGGAGAGAGAGGAGAGAGAGGAGGGAGAGGAGGGAGCAGAGGGAGAGGAGAGAGAGGAGGGAGAGGAGGGAGCAGAGGGAGAGGAGAGAGAGGAGAGAGAGGAGAGAGAGGAGGGAGAGGAGAGAGAGGAGAGAGAGGAGAGAGAGGAGAGAGAGGAGGGAGAGGAGAGAGAGGAGAGAGAGGAGAGAGAGGAGGGAGAGGAGGGAGAGGAGGAGAGAGAGGAGAGAGAGGAGGGAGAGGAGGGAGAGGAGGGAGCAGAGGGAGAGGAGAGAGAGGAGAGAGAGGAGGGAGAGGAGAGAGAGGAGAGAGAGGAGGGAGAGGAGGGAGCAGAGGGAGAGGAGAGAGAGGAGAGAGAGGAGAGAGAGGAGGGAGAGGAGAGAGAGGAGGGGAGAGGAGAGAGAGGAGAGAGAGGAGGGAGAGGAGGGAGCAGAGGGAGAGGAGAGAGAGGAGAGAAAGGAGAGAGAGGAGGGAGAGGAGAGAGAGGAGGGAGAGGAGAGGAGAGGAGGGAGAGGAGGGAGAGGAGAGAGAGGAGAGAGAGGAGAGAGAGGAGGGAGAGGAGGGAGAGGAGAGAGAGGAGAGAGAGGAGGGAGAGGAGGGAGCAGAGGGAGAGGAGAGAGTGCAGAGAGAGGAGGGAGAGGAGAGAGAGGAGAGAGAGGAGGGAGAGGAGGGAGCAGAGGGAGAGGAGAGAGAGGAGAGAGAGGAGGGAGAGGAGAGAGAGGAGAGAGAGGAGGGAGAGGAGGGAGCAGAGGGAGAGGAGAGAGAGGGAGAGAGGAGGAGAGAGAGGAGGGAGAGGAGAGAGAGGAGGGAGAGGAGAGAGAGGAGAGAGAGGAGGGAGAGGAGGGAGCAGAGGGAGAGGAGAGAGAGGAGAGAGAGGAGAGAAAGGAGAGAGAGGAGGGAGAGGAGAGAGAGGAGGGAGAGGAGAGAGAGGAGAGAGAGGAGGGGAGAGGAGGGAGAGGAGAGAGAGGAGAGAGAGAGGAGGGAGAGGAGGGAGAGGAGAGAGAGGAGAGAGAGGAGGGAGCAGAGGGAGAGGAGAGAGAGGAGAGAGAGAGAGAGAGAGGAGAGAGAGGAGGGAGAGGAGAGAGAGGAGGGAGAGGAGGAAGAGGAGGGAGAGGAGAGAGAGGAGGGAGAGGAGGGAGCAGAGGGAGCAGAGGGAGAGGAGAGAGAGGAGAGGGAGCAGAGGGAGAGGAGAGAGAGGAGAGAGAGGAGGGAGAGGAGGGAGCAGAGGGAGAGGAGAGAGAGGAGGGAGAGGAGAGAGGAGGGAGAGGAGGGAGAGGAGAGAGAGGAGAGAGAGGAGAGAGAGGAGAGAGAGGAGGGAGAGGAGGGAGAGGAGGGAGAGAAGAGAGAGGAGAGAGAGGAGAGAGAGGAGGGAGAGGAGGGAGAGGAGAGAGCGGAGAGAGAGGAGGGAGCAGAAGAAGAGGAGAGAGAGGAGAGAGAGGAGAGAGAGGAGAGAGAGGAGGGAGAGGAGAGAGAGGAGAGAGAGGAGGGAGCAGAGGGAGAGGAGAGAGAGGAGAGAGAGGAGAGAGAGGAGGGAGAGGAGGGAGAGGAGGGAGAGGAGAGAGAGGAGGGGGAGGAGGGAGAGGAGAGAGAGGAGAGAGAGAGGGAGGAGGAGGGAGAGGAGGGAGAGGAGAGGAGGGAGAGGAGGGAGAGGAGAGAGAGGAGAGAGAGGAGAGAGAGGAGGGAGAGGAGAGAGAGGAGGGAGAGGAGGGAGCAGAGGGAGAGGAGAGAGAGGAGGGAGAGGAGAGAGAGGAGAGAGAGGAGGGGAGCAGAGGGAGAGGAGAGAGAGGAGGGAGAGGAGAGAGGAGGGAGAGGAGGGAGAGGAGAGAGAGGAGAGAGAGGAGGGAGAGGAGAGAGAGGAGGGAGAGGAGGGAGAGGAGAGAGAGGAGAGAGAGGGGGAGAGGAGGGAGAGGAGAGAGAGGAGGGAGAGGAGAGAGAGAGAGAGAGAGGAGAGAGAGGAGGGAGAGGAGGTAGCAGAGGGAGAGGAGAGAGAGGAGGGAGAGGAGAGAGGAGGGAGAGGAGGGAGAGGAGAGAGAGGAGAGAGAGAGGAGGGAGGGAGAGAGAGGAGGGAGAGAGGAGAGGAGGGGAGGGAGAGAGGAGAGGAGAGAGAGAGAGAGAGGAGAGAGGAGGGAGAGAGGAGGAGAGAGGAGAGAGGGAGAGGGAGAGAGAGAGAGGAGAGAGGAGGGAGAGGAAGAGAGAGGAGAGAGGGAGAGGAGAGAGAGGAGGGAGAGGGAGAGAGGAGAGAGAGGGAGGAGGGAGAGGAGAGAGAGGAGGGAGAGGAGAGAGAGAGAGGAGAGAGAGGAGGGAGAGGAGAGAGGAGAGAGGAGAGAGAGGAGAGAGGAGAGAGAGAGAAGGAGAGAGGAGAGGAGAGAGGAGAGAGAGGAGAGAGAGGGAGAGGAGAGAGAGAGAGAGAGGGAGAGAGAGAGGAGAGAGGAGAGGGAGGGAGAGAGGGAGAGGAGAGAGGAGGGAGAGGGAGGAGAGGAGGAGAGGGAGAGGAGAGAGAGGGGAGAGGAGGAGAGAGGGAGAGGAGAGAGAGGAGGAGAGGAGAGAGGAGGAGAGGAGGGAGAGGAGAGAGGGAGGGAGGAGAGAGAGGAGAGAGAGAGGAGGGAGAGGAGAGGGAGGGAGAGAGAGAGAGGAGGAGAGGAGAGGAGAGGATGGGAGGGAGAGGAGAGAGAGGAGGGAGAGGAGAGAGGGGAGAGAGGAGGGAGAGAGAGAGAGGAGAGGAGAGGAGGAGAGGAGAGGAGAGGAGAGGAGAGGAGAGAGAGGAGGGAGAGAGAGGAGAGGAGGGAGCGAGGGAGAGGAGAGAGAGAGAGAGAGAGGAGAGGAAGGAGAGAGAGGAAGGAGAGAGAAGAGGGAAGGAGGAGGGGAGAGAGAGAAAAGAGAGGGGAGAGGGAGAAGGAGAGAGAGAAGAGGGGAGAGGAGGAGAGAGGAGAGAGAGGGGGAGAGAGGGAGAGAGGAGAGGAGAGGGAGGAGAAGGAGAGAGGAGGAGAAGAGAGGAGAGGAGGAGACGGAGAGGGAGGAGGAGGGGGAGAGAAGGGAAGAGGAGAAGAGAGGGAGAGAGGAGGGAGAGAGAGAGAGGAGGAGGAGAGGAGGAGGAGGAGAGAAGGAAGAGAGAGGGGAGGAGGAGAGGAGAAGAAGGAGGAGAGGGAGAAGAGATGAGGAGAAAGCGAGAGGAGGAGAGAGGAGGACGAGAGGAGAGAGATGGAGGGAGAGGGGAGGCGAGAGGAGAAGGTAAGCAGAGAGAAGGAGGAGGAGGAGGAGGAGGGAGAGGGAGAGAGGGGAAGAGAGAGATGAGGTGGAATAGGCTGGAGAGAGATTAGAGGCGAGGGAGGCGCAGCTGTGAGTTGGAGAGGAGAGGGGAGGGTGCGGCCGAGGCTGTAGAGGGAGGGAGGAGAGGAGATAGGGAGGACGAGAGGTGGGGACATACACGACCAAGAGGAGAGGCATATGACGGGAGAGGATGAGGAGAGATGCGAGAGAGATCTTTGGACGAGAGATCCGGAGAGATGGCCCGACGAGGAGGGAACGGAGAAGAGAGTTGGTTATAAAGAGATGAGAGATGGGGTGGAAGAGACGGGGGAGGAACTGAGCGCTGAGAGGGGGCGAGATGAGGATGAGATACGAGGATATGAGGTGCAGAGAGATAAGGATTCCGAGAGAAAGATGCAGATGGATTGGGAGAGGGGGGTGACTTGAGCGCGGGGGGACACGAGAGAGAAGAGAAGCGAGAGGAAGGGAAGAGAGAAGGAGGATAAGGAAGGAGAGGGGGGGGTCGGGAGGAGGATGAGGGGGGACGCGGGAGGTGGGGACAGGACACCACTGCACGGGATTGAGGAAGAGACGGGAGGGACGCGCTGATGCGGCGCGAGTGAGAGTAAGAATGAGACGAAGCAGGAGAGGAGCGTTTTTATAAAGAGAGGAGGGGGGAAACTGACGAGGAGAGCGGGGGGAACTGGTATCCCCCAATTGATTAATGGTGGATGGATAGAGATATGACCGTTTTTGTTTGGGGCTTTGCTTGGTCCCACCCATCCAGAGGGACACTGAGCTTGTTTGTTTGTTGTATCTCTTTTGTAAGACCAGGATGAGGCTCCATTTTATTATTTTTGTAGAACCAGAGCTAGGATGAGGCTTTTGTAGACCAAGAGGATGAGGCTGTACTAGCACCAGGACCTATTCCTGAAGCTGTTAGACCCCGTAGGCTGAGGCTTCTTGTGTTAGACCAAAAAGCAGCTGCTGTAGAGATCCAGGACTGAGGCTGTAGACCCAGGACTGAAGCTGTAGATCCAGGACTAAGGCTGTAGACCCAGGACTGGAGGCTGTAGACCCAGGACTGAGGCTGTAGACCCAGGACTTAGGCTGTAGACCCAGGACTGAGGCTGTAGACCCAGGACTGAGACTGTAGACCCAGGACTGAAGCTGTAGACCCAGGACTGAGGCTGTAGACCCAAGACTGAGGCTGTAGATCCAGGACTGAGGCTGTAGACCCAGGACTGAGGCTGTAGACCCAGGACTGAAGCTGTAGATCCAGGACTAAGGCTGTAGACCCAGGACTGAAGCTGTAGATCCAGGACTAAGGCTGTAGACCCAGGACTGAGGCTGTAGACCCAGGACTGAGGCTGTAGACCCAGGACTGAGGCTGTAGACCCAGGACTGAGGCTGTAGACCCAGGACTGAGGCTGTAGATCCAGGACTGAGGCTGTAGATCCAGGACTGAGGCTGTAGACCCAGGACTGAAGCTGTAGATCCAGGACTAAGGCTGTAGACCCAGGACTGAGGCTGTAGACCCAGGACTTAGGCTGTAGACCCAGGACTGAGGCTGTAGACCCAGGACTGAGGCTGTAGATCCAGGACTGAGGCTGTAGACCCAGGACTGAGGCTGTAGACCCAGGACTGAGGCTGTAGATCCAGGACTGAGGCTGTAGATCCAGGACTGAGGCTGTAGACCCAGGACTGAGGCTGTAGACCCAGGACTGAAGCTGTAGATCCAGGACTAAGGCTGTTAGACCCAGGACTGAAGCTGTAGATCCAGGACTAAGGCTGTAGACCCAGGACTGAGGCTGTAGACCCAGGACTTAGGCTGTAGACCCAGGACTGAGGCTGTAGACCCAGGACTTAGGCTGTAGACCCAGGACTGAGGCTGTAGATCCAGGACTGAGGCTGTAGATCCAGGACTGAGGCTGTAGACCCAGGACTGAGGCTGTAGACCCAGGACTGAGGCTGTAGACCCAGGACTGAGGCTGTAGACCGAGGACTGAGGCTGTAGACCCAAGACTGAGGCTGTAGACCCAGGACTTAGGCTGTAGACCCAGGACTGAGGCTGTAGACCCAGGACTTAGGCTGTAGATCCAGGACTGAGGCTGTAGATCCAGGACTAAGGCTGTAGACCCAGGACTGAAGCTGCAGACCTTCAGTCCTGGGTCTGAAGGTCTCGTTACTGTGTTGTTACGATCTGTTTGTGTACTTCCTCGTTCAAAGCCAAGTATTTTACACGTCAGAGTGATTAAAGCTGAGGTACGTGACTTTCAAATGTTAAATCATGGAACTGTACAAACCACGTCTAGTTCCTCGCTCTCAGACCGGTCTGGTTCAGTCCGTTTGAACTCTGTCACATCTTTAGATCAGCCTCCGCTCTGGTCTCACTGGTCTATGTCTCTCTGGTCCCGGTCTCGCTCTGGTCTCTGATCTCCATCTGGTCTTATTCTGCACTCTCTGGTCTCTGAAATTTCCCCACTGTGGGGCGAGTAAAGGATCTCTAAATCTCTCTCTGGTCTCTCTCTCTCTGGTCTCTCTCTGGTCTCTCTTTGGTCTCTCTCTGGTCTCTCTCTCTCTCTGGTCTCTCTCTGGTCTCTCTGGTCTCTCTCTGGTCTCTCTTTGGTCTCTCTCTGGTCTCTCTCTGGTCTCTCTCTGGTCTCTCTGGTCTCTCTCTCTGGTCTCTCTTTGGTCTCTCTCTGCTCTCTCTCTGCTCTCTCTCTCGCTCTCTCTTTGCTCTCTCTCTGGTCTCTCTCTGGTCTCTCTTTGGTCTCTCTCTGGTCTCTCTTTGGTCTCTCTCTGCTCTCTCTCTCGCTCTCTCTTTGGTCTCTTTCTGGTCTCTCTCTGCTCTCTCTCTGCTCTCTCTCTCTCGCTCTGGTCTCTCTGGTCTCTCTTTGGTCTATCTCTGCTCTCTCTCTGCTCTCTCTCTCTTGCTCTGGTCTCTCTCTGGTCTCTCTTTGGTCTCTCTCTCACTCTCTCTCTCTCGCTCTCTCTCTCTTTGGTCTCTCTCAGGTCTCTCTCTGGTCTCTCATTGGTCTCTCTCAGGTCTCTCTCTGGTCTCTCTTTGGTCTCTCTCAGGTCTCTCTCTGGTCTCTCTCAGGTCTCTCTCTGGTCTCTCTCTGGTCTCTCTCAGGTCTCTCTCTGGTCTCTCTTTGGTCTCTCTCTGGTCTCTCTCTCTCTTTTGTGTCTCCGTCTCCTCTTCATGATGTACTATTTGAGGCTAGTAACGCTGGTAGTAGACTGGACTAGACTAGACTAGATTAGACTAGAGTAGACTAGACTAGACTAGATTAGACTAGAGTAGACTAGGGCTGGTGGAAACAGGGCTCACACCAATCTCTCCGATCTCTCACATTTCTGACATTACGGTGCAGTTGGTCCTGATCCTAATAATAGTCGTGTCGGAGTTAAACAGGGCTGGACCATGTGACCCCAGAGACATCACGGAGACAAAAGATGAAATATGCAAAGTCCTCGTCTGTCGGCTTCGAGTCTGACACAGAAAAGCACTCGGTCCTCTGTGCGCAGTCTGACAGTTCCCCCCCGCAGTCGGAGCCGGTCTTCTCTGGGTTCAGATGTTTCCCTCGGATTAGAGAGGACGTGGAGGTCTGACTTCAGAGATTCAGAACGACAGAACACTGTAGTGGAAGATCCCGTCTGTGTTTGCAACCATCATTAATATGCAGCAGCTCCAGAAACAGCAAAGTGGGACGGCCCAAAGTGGGATGAGCCAATGTGGGACGTCCTAATGTGGGACGTAGTAATGTGGGACAGTCCAATGTGGGACGTCCTAATGTGGGACGTAGTAATGTGGGACAGTCCAATGTGGGACGTCCTAATGTGGGACGTAGTAATGTAAATCAAGACAGTGAGGAGGACTGAGGCGTGTCTCCTCAATCAGGCTCCAGAGAGGCAGGGAGCGAGGGGGGAGACCGGCCGGGATGGGGGAGAGAGAGGGGGGACACTGGTATCCCCCAAATATGATTATGGTGGATAGAGATGACCGTGGCTTTGCTCTGGTCCATCCATCCAGGACTGAGGCTGTAGACCCAGGACTGAGGCTGTAGACCCAGGACTGAGGCTGTAGACCCAGGACTGAGGCTGTAGACCCAGGACTGAGGCTGTAGACCCAGGACTGAAGCTGTAGATCCAGGACTGAGGCCGTAGACCCAGGACTGAGGCTGTAGATTTGTGTAATTCATGGTAAACTCTCTGTAATTCATGGTGAGCTCTGTGTAATTCATGGTAAACTCTCTGTAATTCATGGTGAGCTCTGTGTAATTCATGGTAAACTCTCTGTAAATCATGGTGAGCTCAAAGTAATTCATGGTGAGCTTTGTGTAATTCATGGTGAGCTTTGTGTAATTCATGGTGAGCTTTGTGTAATTCATGGTAAACTCGCTGTAATTCATGGTGAGCTCAAAGTAATTCATGGTGAGCTTTGTGTAATTCATGGTGAGCTTTGTGTAATTCATGGTAAACTCTCTGTAATTCATGGTGAGCTCTGTGTAATTCATGGTAAACTCTCTGTAATTCATGGTGAGCTCTGTGTAATTCATGGTAAACTCTCTGTAATTCATGGTGAGCTCTGTGTAATTCATGGTAAACTCTCTGTAATTCATGGTGAGCTCTCTGTAATTCATGGTGAGCTTTGTGTAATTCATGGTAAACTCTCTGTAATTCATGGTGAGCTCTGTGTAATTCATGGTAAACTCTCTGTAATTCATGGTGAGCTCTGTGTAATTCATGGTAAACTCTCTGTAATTCATGGTGAGCTTTGTGTAATTCATGGTGAGCTTTGTGTAATTCATGGTAAACTCGCTGTAATTCATGGTGAGCTCTCTGTAATTCATGGTGAGCTTTGTGTAATTCATGGTAAACTCACTGTAATTCATGGTGAGCTCTGTGTAATTCATGGTGAGCTTTGTGTAATTCATGGTAAACTCTCTGTAATTCATGGTGAGCTCTCTGTAATTCATGATGAGCTCTCTGTAATTCATGATGAGCTCTCTGTAATTCATGGTGAGCTCTCTGTAATTCATGGTGAGCTCTCTGTAATTCATGGTGAGCTCTCTGTAATTCATGGTAAACTCTCTGTAATTCATGGTGAGCTTTGTGTAATTCATGGTAAACTCTCTCTAATTCATGGTGAGCTCTGTGTGTTTCATGGTAAACTCTCTGTAATTCATGGTGAGCTCAAAGTAATTCATGGTGAGCTCTGTGTAATTCATGATGAGCTCTCTGTAATTCATGGTGAACTCTCTGTAATTCATGGTGAGCTTTGTGTAATTCATGGTAAACTCTCTTTAATTCATGGTGAGCTCTGTGTAATTCATGGTGAACTCTCTAATTCATGGTGAGCTCTCTGTAATTCATGGTGAACTCTCTAATTCATGGTGAGCTCTGTGTAATTCATGGTAAATTCTCTGTAATTCATGGTGAGC